CTCTGTTTACACAACCTCCATTCCTTGGAACRGCAAAACCCCAGCCAGGAGCACCAGAGGGAAGGGAACAGGAACAACCCCAAAAGGATCAGTCCCRAAGCCAAACCCCCTCAAAACACAGGAACAGCAGAGGCAGGAACACAGCAGATTCCAAAATGGGATTAGGGTCAGTGAGATTATTCAATTCAGCTTTCTGAACACAGACAGGATTAATTATTAGAAGGCAACTCAATTTTGGAGCATTAAAAGTTTCCCATTTTGCTTTCAGTTTAACTCATTTTGTTAATGTTACAGTCAAAGAAAATATGGGGAACTAYAGARGTTCAGAATTCCCTCATATGAGGATCCTGAACACACCAACTCTTCCTGTATAAATATAGGTTTTAGAAATGAATTTAGGCCTCAACACTCCTTGAGCATTTTGCTCCTTTTCCTACTCGTCTGTTTTTTACCACAAGAAGAAAATAACATTTCAGAAAAAAACCCACCCAAAACAAGCAAACAAAGCTCATTCCCATTCTTTTTTCCCCAATGAATTTGGTGCAGGATTAATTATTAGAAGGCAACTCAATTTTGGAGCATTAAAAGTTTCCCATTTTGCATCCAGTTCAGCTCATTTTGTGTCTCTACAGTCAAAGAAAATATGGGGAACTACAGAGGTTCAGAAGGGTCAGAATCCTCTTGTATAAGGATCCTGAACACATCAACTCTTCCTGTATAAATACAGGTTTTAGAAATTAATTTAGGCCTCATATGCTCCTTGAGCATTTTGCTTCTTTTCTAACTTATCTGGTTTTTACCACATGAAAATAACATTTCAGAAAAAAAAAACAACACCCAAAACAAGCCAAACAAAGCTCATYCCCCTCTTTTTTCCCCAATAAATTGGGTTCAGGAATAATTATTAGAAGGCAACTCAATTTTGGAGCATTAAGTTTCCCATTTTGCTTCCAGTTTAGCTGATTTCATGTCTCTACAGTCTAAACAAGACATGGGGAACTACAGAGGTTCAGAACTCCCTCATAAGAGGATCCTGAATCCAGAAGAGAAATGCCAYGGATCGATGCATTTCTCAGGCTGAAGGTGCTCCCAAAGCTCACCACACTCTCAGAGTTCCCTGGAGTTCCACAATTTCATTTTTAACGGGACAAACTGCCCCATGGATACACACAATTTCCAGCCAGGCTCAGCTCCTGCTCGCTGGAGGGTTTGGAGACTCCCAGAGGAAGCTGCAAAGGATGGAGCTTTTTGTGTGCTGTTGTTTTTGAGGATGTAGAGGAGACTGCACAGACGGCTCACAGTCAGGGATAAAAAAAAAAAAGAATTGGAATTATTTAATCCTGACAACGTGGCTCAGGGGGAACCCAGGACACCTCCTGGTGACATCACAGGGCACGGAAACACAGACAAAATGAAAACTCAGGCCTTGATAAATGAATCCYCCAAGAGCATCAGGAGTCACTTGGAAGCACCAGGAGATGCCTCTCCTGCTCTCTGCTGTTATTTGGCTGCTCTTCATCGGGCAGGAAGCAGAGAAATCCCAAATATAAGCACGGACTGGGACCTGTCAGGGCATGTTCCACATTAAAGTGACACCACAGAGAATTAGGAGTCAATCTGGGTAATGTTTTCCCTTTTTGTTTGCTTTGCTGCAGTAAGTGGTGATTTTCTCTGTGGTGGCCACACCTCCTGTAAAGGGACTAATCTGAATATGCTCGTGGGGTCGGGCATGGCATTCCCAGGAAAAAGAGAATTCCACTTTTCCTGGAATCAGAAACCCACATATGAGTCCAATTTAAAGAGCTTAGCCCACATTCCATACCATATTTTATTCCTAAAATAAAGAATTATTATCATTATTATTATTATTATTAAACCCCCTCACGACTGGATTTGTGAATTACCCAACAACAATGGCTCAGGAATCTGTTTACGTGGCTCAACAAAAGACAATAAACTAAGTGAAAACCCAGCCCAGCCTCCCCCTCCGCAACTCAGGCATTATTTAAAGTCTGAAACAGACACAATATATTAGTCACAGCCCCAGATCAGGCTATTTTTACCCCAAGATAAGAYTCCACACTCAAAGGCCCTACTTTCCCCTCCTCAGCCAGGTGAATGACCCTGGCAAAATCCACAGGTTATGAAGAAGAGGAGGAAGAGGAGAACAAATCACCCACCGCCTTCATGATCTTACAATATTCCACAGCTCTGAACAGCATTTCCCAGTTTCCATACATTTCTGCCAAAWTTTGCCCCTCTCCCATGAAATGTGAAGCCTCACAGTGCCCAGTTTTCCCCCTGTCCCACAAACCCTCACAAAACGGTCGCTTGCAAAGCACAACCATTACAAACTGGTTTCTAGGAAGCGCCGAGGAATTTCCACCCATCCTGCCCCTCTGAAAAATAAATCTATTTTTAAGTGAGAACACACATTTTGGAAGCTCTTCTGTCCAACATAACCTCACTGGAAAAACCAGGGATTTAAAGGAAAACAGCTCTAAAACTTTCCAGGTTATACAGGTGAGTGGGTCAGAGACAATCAATGCTGGGGTAATAAAGGATGGATTTATAATTGTGGGATGGTTTGGGATGGAAGGGACCTTAAAGTCCATCCAGTGTCACCCCTGCCATGGCAGGGACACMTTCCACCACCCCAGGGTGCTCCAAGCCCTGTCCAGCCTGGCCTGGGACACTTCCAGGGATCCAGGAGCAACCACAGCTTCTCTGGGCAAAACACAGTAACCAAACCAGCCAAGAAACAGGAAGATGTTTAAAAGCGTTTCTTGTAGCTCAAAATAAGCCTTTCTATAACACACCAACTCTTCCTGTATAAATATAGGTTTTAAAAATTTATTTAGGCCTCAAAYGCTCCTTGAGCATTTCGCTCCTTTTCCAACTCGTCTGTTTTTTACTATAAGAAGAAAATAACATTCCAGCAAAAAAAAACAAGCCACCCCACCCAAAACAAGCTGAACAAAGCTCTTCCCCACTCTTTTTTCCCCAATGAATTGGGTTCAACATGTCCTGGTGCAACCCTGATGAAAACCCTCCCAAAATTGGAAAGAASTCCAGTATTACAAGATTAAGCTAAGGAAGCAAAGGATGTCAATGCCCTGCGAGACGTTTTCCCCCAAAGTCTGTCACCAACCTGTTTTTACGCTTTGCTCTGTAACCAGCCGCTCTGCAGCAGTGAAAGAATTAAAAAAAAAAAGCTCTCAAAGGGTAAAAAAAAAAAGAAAAAAAATCTACGCAGCCAAGAACAGCCCAGAACAGTAAATACAAAAATACAATAACCCTGGATAATGCAGGGCTCACGTGCAGGCTCCTCTCYGGAGTTCCCAATGTTTTCATCCCTGGATGCCACAGAAACGGGAATGTTTGAACACTCAAAAACCTGAGCCCAACCCCAAACTCACACTGCTGCGCATTTCACCCGGATTTAAGGCAGGAAGAAAACAATCCCACGTGCAGTATTAGACCACCAGCATTTCCTGCACCTTTCTCAACTCCTGGGCTGAGGAATTCCCCACGGAGCTCCGTGGAACCAGAGCCTCTTTGATTTACCATTAACCAGCATTTCCCCTGGATCGCCATCCCATCCCTCTCCACCAAGGGGGAYCAGCCACATCTTTACCATTCCAGGYTYTTTTTTCTTCCCGGAGAAGGAGAACGGGCAGGGATTTCCATCYTCCCCAGCCTCTCGCAGCCATGGGAAGTGAATCCTGCTGCTGCCCTTCCTCCCTACCCCCCTCCTCCTCCTCCCCCGGGAAGACAGCTGGGACAACAATGCGGCTGGAATCGCCCTGGCTCCACACGCTGCTTTGTGCCATGTCCTTTGAATAGATCTCATTGTTTACCCTCCTCTCCTTCCGTCCTCTCCATCCCCCACCTCCCCGTAAGCAAATTTTTTCCCCCGGTTACTGCCCAAAAAGAAAAAAAAAAGAAAAAAAAATGCGGTGCTGAGGCCACCTTTCCCCGCATCCCGAACGTCCCCCCTCCGCCGCTCCCCAAAGGCTGTGGTGTTTTCCAGGCGCAATTCCCCACATCTCCTGCTCCATCATCAACTTGGCCGCAGCAACACGTTGGCAGCAGCTCTGCCCCCACCCCGGTTCCCCCAAAATCCCCCCGGGAGTTTGGAACAGACAGGGGAATCCTCAAAATGGGACGGAGGAGGAGTTTTACACCGGTACCCCCACACTGGGACCCCTCTCTGTACCCACAGATCCTCCCCAGCCTCATTTATAGAGGGACACCCCCTCAGCCCCCGACGAGTTTAAATCAGACTGGGGAACCCACTCCCCAAAACGGATCGGGGGGAAGAATTTTGGTACCAACATGCCCCCAAATCTGGGAGTCCAGGCATGAGCCCCCCCACCCCACACCCACAGACATCCCCGGCTGCGACCCTCCCCAGCCTCATACACAGAGCCCCCCACGGGAAGCCCCCCAAAATGAGGCGGGGAGAAATTTCATATCAGCCCCCCCAAAACCCGAGGGTCACAGTCCTGAGCCCCCTCCGCGCCCCCACAGTCACCCCCAACCCCCAGCGCCATTCATAGACCCCCCCCACAGGAGTTTACATCTGCCAAGGGAACATCTCCCCCCAAAAATGGGGGGGTGGAGAGCACAAATTTCACACAAACCACCCCCCAAACATGGGGGTCGCAGCCCTGAGCCCCCCCCCGGGCACCCACAGTCACCCCCAACCCCCAGCCCCATTCATACACCCCCCCACAGGAGTTTACATCTACCCAGGGAACATCTCCCCCCAAAAATGGGGGGGTGGAGGGCACAAATTTCACACCAAACCACCCCCCAAACCCGGGGGTCGCAGCCCTGAGCCTCCCCACAGCCACCCACAACCGCGACCCCCCTTCCAGCCCCATTCAAACAAACCCCCCCGCGCCCCCCCCCCTCTGCCCCAAGGCCGCGCTGTCCGGGGCGGGTGTGGGGAAAACCCTCAGGGCCATCATGAGGGGAGGGGGTCACACACAAACCGCGGCCCGGTCCCCCCCTCAGCGCTTCCTCAACCGGGCCAGGCCGGGCCTCCCCCCGCAGGGCCGGCCGGGGCCTCACCTCAAAGCGGCTCTTAGTGACCCCGTTCATCTCCCTGCGCATGGCGGGGCCGGCGCGGGGGG